GTGTACTCTATATTAGATAGTACCTATTACCTAGTAAGTCCTAGTTATAGAGTCCTCTAGTACCTAGGTATACTTAAATACTGCGTCTATATCCTTAACCTACTAATCTACTTATTAGGAAGTAGAGACGTAGAATTCTATACCTAATTTAGGCTTAGAGTTTACTATATTAAGTACTCTAATTAGCCTTTTTACTATATTAAATACTAACTAGAAAGGCTTTACTAAGGTAGTAGAGCGTTCTAGGCCTAAGTATTATAAGGTAACTTAGAGGTGTCTTTCTAGAATTATAATATATTCTAGGCTAGTGCCTTAAAGTTATTCTTCTAGGAGCCTATCTAAGATTAATTAAATATACTGCTTACTACTTAGTAGGGCTACTTACGTATAGACCCTTAGAAGTAATTCCTAAGGAGGTTATAAAATGCTAAACTAGTAGATTACTTCTAGAACTCTATTAATACTGCTTTCTAGCTATATTCTAGAGAGAAGTATATAGCTTATTTTCTTAATTAAGAGTTATTCTAAGAGGCTCTTATGTATTTCCTTAAGTAGCTAGTTCTTTATTAGGAAGTAAGTTACTTTCTACTTAGAGGTTTCTTCTTCTTTATCTAGGCTTTCTACGTCTTTAATATAGGTAGCTAGGCCTTACTCTAAAGCTAAGTTACTTTTAGTCTTAGATAAGAATACTATTAGGCTCTTCTTAGGCGTAATGTTTTATTTTCTTTAAGGAGGCATTATTTTTCTATTAAAGAAAATAGCTCCTATTTATCTTAAATTAACTACTCTTTCTAAAGAAGAGTATAAAGGATTTAAATTATAAGAGCACTGTAAACAAGTAATTAAGATATAGGATAAATAGGTATTTATTAAGAGATTAGATAAATTCTTAGGGTATAAGCCCTAGGGATTTATAAGTACTATATACTAGAGCTCTAAGAGCCTTATACCCTTAGCCTAGAGGTCTACTAAAGGTAGGCTAACAGAAGCTTAGATAGAAATACCTATAATATAAGATTAGCTCTATCTAATTATTTTTAAATATAAAATAGTAAATTATACTTAAAATTTAAGAGATTCTATATAAATACTTTTATAAAAGAAAGTATAGAATATAATATATATATTAGTAGTAGTATAGTATTATTAATCTAAGTCTTAACTATACTATTATTATAATTAGACTTTTACTTATATTTTAATTTTTACTATATTTTACTAAATTTTAGAGCTATTTATAACCTAATAAAGTATTATACGTTTTTAAAGTACTAATTCTTAAGTATTAAATATAATCTATTATTATACTATTTTTATAGTAGTTTTATAATTCTTAACTAAGGCTTACTAAAGCTCTATAATTATTACTAAAAATTAAGTACTTTCTAGATAAACGTATTATAAAAGAAATTTAGTATTATACCTAAATAGCTATAAATAAAAAGCTTCTTTAATTTCTATATAGGTTATTATATATAAAAAAAAAGTCTTTAATACCTCTTTAGGTATATATAGCTTAATACTAGATAATATAAGTATATTATTAGATAAGACTCTTTTAAGTCTCTATAAAAGGCTTAATTACTATATACTAATTCTAGTTTATAAAACCTATATTATATAATTCTACTCTAATACTTCTTTAGATATACTATCTATATTACTACACTATAGTAGTTACTAGTATATATTTAATAAATCTACTAAGAACTTATAATAATAGTTTTTTTTTACTTATAGTTTTTTTAGTAGTATACTAAGAGTTTTTAAAGTTTAGGTAATAGTATAGGTATTAGTAGTTAAGCTTACTAAGCTCTAGAGCTTTTACTTACTAAGGTTTTACTAGGCCTAGCCTATTATATATAATAGTAAAATACTATAACTATAGTCTAGGTTACTACTATAAAGGCTTTAAAATATTATAGTAAAAAGTATTTTAAGAATTATTAAATTTCTAGTATAGTTAATAGTAATCTTATATAAAATAAGTCTAGTTATATACCTTATATATATAATAAAAAGAAGAGAAAGATTTTTAAAAAGAAGTCTTTAGAGCTAGTAAAGCCTTTTATATCTTAAAGAATTAGTTTTTACTTTTATATCTATTAGATAGCTTATCTTTACTAGTTTTAAATACTATACTCCTTTAGTAAATTATATATCTTATATTACTTAAAAAGGCCGCACTTTAGCCTCTATACGTATAGAAATACTCTTACTTTCGCGAATTCTATATTATAAGTTTTACCCTTAAGTTAAGACTTAGGTTAATAGTAGATGTATATTACAGTAGATCTTTATTTCTCTGCCTATTGCATTAGGCAGTCTAACTCCTGCGCTAGTACGTCTAGTTACGGCGCCTACGCAGGGGTTAAACTACCTAATATAATAAGTAGAGTACTTCTAAAGACTTACCTTATCTAGATTTACTTACAACAATTCTCGTTATATATCTAGGTCGTTAGAGATTATGTAAAAGAAAGTTATGTTATAAGTAATTAAGTTCTACAGGGTAATAATAAGTAGGAAGCGCGGGTAGTAGATAAGCAGTAGACCCTAGTAAAGCTACTGCTAAAGCTATTGGTCTACGCTTCTAGCCTCTGCGTCCCTAACACTTTATAATAACTAACTCCTAACTTTATTCCTTATATACTATACTTTTTAGTAAAATATATTTTAGTTATTATTATAATATCTTTTTATAGAGTTTAGATAAACGCTAAGAGCGTAAGACACTCCCTAATATAGTAGATTAGGTACCTAGTAGGCAGGCCTTAATTTACTATACCCTTAGTACTTATTTAGTTAAATCTGTAATATTATTTAGTAATCTTACTACGTGCTAGATCTGTATAGAAAGTGCTTGTAAAAGTTTCTATTATAGGTTAGCTTAGCTAGAGTTTTAGAGGAATGCGTAAGATAAGGCGTACTAAGGTATCCTCCTTTAATATATAACTTAGATTCCTAAGTAGACAAAGAGTACAATTATAGTAAAGTGTTAAGATTAACAAGTAAGTTTAATCTAAAATATTAATAAGATTATAAAGCAAGTACACTCCTATGCATTTGCAGCTTCCGGTTTCCGTAAGTAGGCAACTCTTAGTCCTATGCCCAGCTCTTCTTTGTTTAGTAGTGACCTTACCCAGATAGTGCTAGCTTTTACTAACGTTGCTATAAGTTAACCCGCCGGTCGATACTCGGACTAATGGAATCGAGATATCTACACAGTCTAAGCCTTTTTAGAGCATGTGTCTTCTAGAATAATCGATACCCTGTGCAGGGTGACAAACAAGCCGTGGGTGCAAAGCGAAAACTGCAAGTGCATGGGAGTGTAGCAAGAAAACGTTCAAGCGTCGCCAAGGCCCAAAAATCAATGCATGGTCGACCGGACTGAAAACAAAAGCACGCTTCCTTTTCTCATCCGGCGAGACAAGTATAAGTAAGAGGATGGCTCCCCCATCATAAAATTATCCCAGTCTGACTATATCAAGGCCTCAATCATCCACCGACCGTCGAATTCACCGCCAGAATGAAATATCTTTCCAGTCTCTCAACCCTCATGGCTTCGGCGCTTGCGGCGAATGTGTCGACAGTACACCAGTTCTCTAATGGCACGTGGCTCGAAAATATCGCTGCCATGCAAAATGGCTCTCTCCTCGTGTCCACCATCGGCGTTGCTCAGGTTCACATTGTTCACCCACAAACCTCACCAGCGACATTCTCCACCATCGCCACCTTTCCAAACGCGACTGGTGCTTTCGGCATCACCGAATTCAAGAAGAATGTATTCGCTGTGATAGTTTCGAGGTCTGCACCTGAATACCGGCCAACCTTACAGAAATACTCGCTATGGAAGCTTGATCTGAGCCAAAAGGAGAAGATAACGAAGGTCAGCATGATGGCAGAACTACCTGATATGGCTATGCCCAATGGTATGGCCACTTTGAACCAGGAAACACTGCTTTTGGCAGACTCGTGGTATGGAAACATCGCTGCATTCAACATCAAAACTGGAAAGACGGGAGTCGTTCTGGAGGATCCTAGCTTAGCGGCCAACTTCTCTGCACCCGGGCTGCAGCTCGGTGCCAACGGAATCAAGGTTCACGATGACTACGTGTACTACACCAACACTGTCCAGGCTATCGCCGGCCGCGTTCGTGTCCACCCGTCGACCGGCAAACCCTACGGCTTTTTCGAGACCTTGCGCGACTCTACTCTCACGGGTCCGGATGATATCTCAATCGCAAAGGATGACAGTATATACGTCTCTGAACCACTGGCGGCGCCACAAGGCGATAAACTTCAGCACATTACGCTTGATGGCAACGTTACGACTATTGCTGAAGGTGACTCTGTGGCAGGCACCACAGCGTCGGCATTTGGAAGAACAAAGAAGGACAGCAGTACTCTTTACTTGACTACAATGGGTGGCTTTGGAGCGGACGGCCAGGCGAAGGCAGGTGGAAGGATCGTTGCGGTGAAGCTATAATAGCATGGCGATGAGGAAATGCAGTCTGCGACGGAAATCAATACTTGGAGGATTAGAACAATGTTTATTGTAGGTGTGTTGTTACTTCAGGCATAGTTCGAACATGAATGGAAAGCAGTATATAAAAGAGCTACACATTAACAGAATATAATTAGGCGTTGCTGATATCTAGATATAATATAGTAAATAACTTTTATAAAATAAAAAGATAGCATATTAATACTCTTATAGAATCAAGTATTAACTGAATTAATTATACTAGTAATTATTTAGTATTCTAAATCTAATTTTTAACTATACTAATATTACTTTAAGAACTTTATTTATAATTTAACTTTTACTATACTCTCCTAATTTTCAGAGGTATCTATAACCTAAGAAGGTATAATACTTTTCTACTTAGAATTTCTATTTAGGGAATTAAAAGATCTAAAACTATATAAAATTACATAATATTAGTTTTAAAACTAGAGGATAAAGCTAAGGTTTCTATACCTGTACCTCTCTGTTTCTACGCTGGGATTATGGAAAACTGGTCTACGCGAATGAAATTATACAGTGCACTGCCTGAGCAGCGGATATCGAGCTCAAAGTCCGCCCAGAGCTCAGGTCCTGCCGCACTTACACCTTGCCGCTCTCCAGAGAATGGCCCAACACGAAGACCAGAGACCCATTGCCATCCAGCACCGATGTTCGTCGGCTGTGGTACCTGCCCGCTGTTCTTGAGTTCGCCAGCTACGTAGACGTAGTAGGAGCAGCTATCCGTGCCGTAAGGTCTGCGAATCTGAAACCCTAGGTTATACGCTGATCCGGGACACATCTTGACAGACGTCTTGAGGTTTGCGCCACCATTGGGTGTGTAAAGCGAAAATATACCAACCATAGCGTCTGAGTCCTGTGCGCCGCCATCGAAGCCGACGTCAAAACGCGAATTGCTTCCGCCGCTAACAATCTGCGCACTCCAGTCGTTTGCTCCGTTCGCGAAGTTTCCGTTTCGGAATCCATTACCCCGAGAGCAGAAGGCTGGCGGTGTGTACGGTTGGCCCTGAACGCAGTATCCTGAAGGCGAGACGCGACCGCACTGTCCGCAATTCTGGGGATGCGAGGCCAGCGTCACGCAGCGGTTGCCACATTGTTCGGCGGGGCACTTGCACTGTCCATTCTCGCAGCGTGAACCTTGGGGACACGTGCGGCCGCAGCCGCCGCAATTGTTGGTGTCGGTACCGAAGACATTGAGACATTGAAACTGGCCGTTTACCATGCAGCCGTTAGGCGTAGAGCCTGAGCAATAGCATTTGCAGCGATCGGTGTTGGCCACATCTGTCTCATGTTAGCGTCTTTTTTCCTCGTGCTTCAGACATGGCACTTACAGAATGCTTTCTGTCCAAAATATCCAGATACCACGCTGTAGTAAAACTCGGCTGTTTTGAGACACCCAAGATATGCCGGATAGCTATACCAATGGTTTAACGAATCGCACCCGCTTCCGCGCATACATGAACGGAACCTACTGTTCCCTTCCTCAAAGGTCATACCACAGTCGTCATAGTCGTTGTCGTGCTGGTCGCAGCAACTGCCAAAACTCAAATCCGGAACATTAAACGCAGACGAGCCACACTGGTTTGGATTGTTGCCTCGTGCCCCAGGAAACACGCGTGCCTCTAGTGGTCGAGGGTACGCGTTACAGCGCGGAGCTACGCCTTCCTGAGACTTGTCGCGGCGTCGTCGCTTCACCGCGGCTGGGCTGTCTGGTAGTGCATACATCGTTTCTGGTGTGCCGTCCGCCTGCTCCATTACTGAGTCGTTTTGGCGCAGTGTCCAGGTAAAGTGCTGCGAAGCGATTTGAACAGTGATGCGGCCTTCGCAAGTGACATCGAAGATGGATGTTGCTAGCTGGGCGTTATTAGTCGACTGGTCTGTCAGGATCACTGAACCATCTGATTTTTTCGCGATGTATTGGCGAGGATTTTCATTGGTAACGAGATCGAAGAGTCCATTGACGCTGTTCATGAGCGCGAAAGATGTGAATACAAGATCCTCAATCGAACCCATCGCGATAAACTCCGCTTCGGACTTTGGTGCTTTAATGGGGCCAAGGGTGCTGTCTGTGCGTTTGATGAGTGGAACTCTATCCTTCGGTTCTAGCAGCTGGAAGGTAGCGTCGGCTTGTCCTGGAACAATGAGACACTTCTTCACTAAATTTGCTTCGACTGGCGTGACGCCTGTAGCAATTGGGGGGCTACCCATTTCCACAGGTGTGGGAAGTGGATCGTCCTGGAAAGTGTATGTGGCCATGAACTCTTGGGGATCCGACGGTAAGATGACTTCCGCCGGTGGCGTGAAGGGTGGGCTGTCATTGTTGATTGACGTGGATGGATCTGTCGCGCTGCTCTGAGAAGCTGCGCTGTCCGATGGCACGTATGAAGACGCGGATGTGTCGGAGGATGTGGTTGAAGGGATGAGGATTGAGATTGATGATGGGTTAGTGGACGGCAGAACGCTATCGGAAGATGATGAGCTCTTGTTAGTAGTCTCAGCGGATGAGGCTGACTGAGAAGCCAAAGATGACTGTGCAGTAGTTGCTGAGGAACTCGGCGCTGATTGAGAGGTGGAAACAGACTTGGAGGCAGTCTGAGGAGCTGATGTTGCAGAGCTACCCTTGGATGAAGTTAAAAGTTTCGTGGACTTCTGGGAGACGGACGTTACAGAGTTGCTCTTCGACGAAGTTGAAAGTTTCGCGGATGTTTGGGTTGAGCTGCGAGATGAACTGACAGTGTTGCACTTTCCGTAGCCTTTCTGGCATGCGTTCACAGCACAATGATCTAATTCAATCAGAAATGTTCTAGCCAGTAGAGTAGCTACATACCATAGCTTGAGCCACAGTAACTGTATTGCGAGCAACAGTCACCCCAGCGGCTTCCCAGACAGGTTTTGCCACCAAAGGATGGTCCGCATCGTGCATTAGTAGTGACAGTCAAGGCGGGCGATGAGGCGTGGACAGTAGAAGACGTGTGACTACTAGTTGGAGTCATTACAGAAGAACTAGACGATTTAGTGACAGTGCCTTGAATGCATTTGCCAAATTTGGCATTGCAGCCTTTGCCGCAATAGAGTTCTTTGCTACCACACCAGCCGTACTAGGTATATGCATTAGCAGCTGTTCAGCTCCTTAGCTGATCTCGCGGGAAGAGTATACATTCGAGCAACAGTCGCCAAAGGTCGACCCAAGACAAGTATAACCCTTCGAGCCGCCGCAGGTTGCGTCTTTCGATACGCGCTGAGAGAGAACCCCAGAGGGTGCCAGTGCAAGGAGTAGGACGATAAAAGAACGCATAATGGACAAATTCCAAACAAAACCAAATGTAAAAGAATGGACGGGCAGCAACGTGCTCTGATCTTGTGGTTAGAGGTACTTTATCTCCTAGTTGACCTTGTCGGGGAGCAACTCGATTTTATATCCTGAGCGCTTCAGGTACCGCCAACCCGCGATGTCTGGACCAGAGTCATGCACATATCCACCAAGCAAATGCCCTGATAAGTAGAGCGACCTGCGCTCCTCTCTAGTCGTGAGAAAAACGCCAGACACTTGATGGCGCTTTCAGGGGGGGCCGTTTGGGTTATCAAATTTGCACTATATTGATGGCCGTAGCCGCATCTACGACAAGCAAATTGATTTGGCGCAGCTGAACGTGCAAAAGTTGGTGCGATGCGCAACTTTGCATTGGGCTGGAAGCCCCTTACATAAAGTCAGCTCGCATGTCGAAAGCCACTGGCGTGAGGGTCTAAACAGAGTTTCAGATATCGGGTTTAGCGCGTTTATCTAGATTATTTCGTGCTAGCGCCTGAACGTAAGCGATCCTAAACCCCTGTGGCTGCTGCCAAGCTGATCTGGAACCACAGACTTTACAGTTTCATTCTCGAGCACGAATGATGGCATGAAATCTCAGTAACGAGAAAGCCAAATCAAGCAGGGGTAACAAGCCGAGCGTATTGGAGCTGGATATGTGTTATCATGACACCACCAACGCTCTGGCTCCTGAGCAATCGTTTCAACAATACCTTTATCGAGCGTAACTCCAGCTTCAATCGAGCGGAGTTGCAAGCAACCGACCATCAACCGATTATTTTACGTTACTTCACTTCGCACTTTCAAGTCCCAAGTTAGCCAATCCAGTCAGAACGACATGGTGTAGGTAAATGAGTAATTTCTGCTTTCATACTTGGTAGAGCATGAATGGTTTCATACAGGAGATATACGCAATACATGATGAACATGGAGAAAAAATGAATGTTATAGTAAATGCTTGAATATACAGTAGAGGAGTATCGAGCCTAGGATAACATGGGTGGACGTGATATCGGTAACACGTTTCGAGAGTTGAAGATATCTCAACCTCGTGCAGCAATTAACTTGTCTAGGGCTGCTGCAGCGTCAATTGTGGCATCCACAGCCTCTTGACTCAAAAGTCGTCCAGATTCCCGGAGTTGCCGGAACCTTTCTTTCCAAAACTGCAGTCGCTTAACATCTACTGTATTGGTACCGCCTTCAGCCGCCCACAAGCTGCCAGAAATATAGTCACGGTTGACGGAAGGCGACCCTAAACTCACTAATTCTTCGCCTGCAATAGTGAGCCAGGTAGCCGCTGCTCGAACTACAAGGTGCGAAAATTCTCCCCGAGGTGTATCGGGACCGTACTCCAAGAAAGCGAACACTGCAAAGGCGTTGTGGAGACAACTGCACAACGGAGATCCTTGTGGAGGGTGTTGTTGTGCTATTAGAGCAGCGAATGTATTGATGTTTGTGTATGGCTTTTCGGCTTCGCGATGTATTTGTTGCTGGTCGTCGTGGCCAGGTTCAGAATGTCGGAAGAAATCTGAAGGCCCGCCATCGAGATCACCTCCGATAATCGAACCAAAGTCCGGCAGTCCAGACCATAAGCTTCCTCCTGTGTCGCAAGGCAACTTGATCCTCTCCCCCGGCTGAACCACAACGGAACCTCCTTCGAACTCCATCGGTCTGTCAGTATTGTTGTACACATCGGGTAAATTTGCGAGTTCAACTGTAAAATCTGCCAGGATCTTGAGGTGTTTCCGGCATGAAAGTTGACTTGCACCTGCGAACAAAGCTCTGATCATAGCATAATAGGCTCTGTCTATGTCATAGCAGACATCCATATCTGGCACTGAAAGCACCCAGTCTGCGATGCGCTCTGCTGCTTTTACTGGAGTAATATTTTCATTCAATGCGTCTTCGAAGATTTGTAACATGGCCACTTGAGAGGATCCAGGCTGCGGATATTCCTCAAACTCTAAGGACGGGTCCAGTTCTCGTCGGCGCAATTCGTGAAAGCATGCAAGCTGCCATAATTGTTGTTCTTTCCAGGCTTCGGTCATTGTTGTAGAGTAAAGTTGCTTAACTAGATATTGCTGATATGATATCCAGAAAATAAGTAGATAACAAATGTCGATAATCTGTTCACGCGACTAACATATGATACCGCAGTCAATGACATCATACGTTGCTCATAGGCTGACCACATCGGTTCAGGATCGGCTAAAAGACATTTGCGAAGCTCAGCTGACATTTGTGGAGCTGAATGTATCATTGTGGGGCTAACAGACTCCTATCAAGTCGCTGAGCGATCGGGCCCTCGCTGGTAGTCTTTCAAAAATTCGTCTCGTAAAGACGTAAGCTGATATCGCCACCTGGTAGGATTTCGGGCATGCAGGGTAGAGGCCTCAGTTGTATAGGGAGGGTTGCAGACATTAACGTATATTGTAACAAGTTATGAAAATTAAGGAGCCTATAGCGATATTCCATCTCAATGTCATTCTAGGTTCGCGTACGTTGCGTATATAACTATCTTGTCATGCCTTTGTGTTGTGGAATTATCATTGTCAAACGAAGTTTACCAATTCTGAGTTCTAACCAATAATTTTATATGCAACGCTCTCCTTCAATAACGCATTTTTAAATTGCTCCGGTCAGATCGCACTCGGCCACTCTCTTTAATTGCGACATATAAGATAATTGCTCGCCGATTGTTTCTATTTCATTTTTGGCTAGGTTTTATAACACACTGCACTTTTTGGCGCATTACTATTCTCAGAGGGCTTTACTTTCCAACAAAAACAAATCAATGAATCCGTCTTATCCCTCTTTTCCTGTTTTACGAGCCTCTCAACGGCGGGCCATTTAATGCAAACGTTATCATGCCCCTCAAGTTCAGTCTACGATTCAGGCCTCGTCGGTACAATCTCGTGTCGCTGAGAAACACGTGTGTGTTCTAGGTTATGCATATGACGATTCCACCAACAGCAATCTTGTCAAGGTTGGACCAATCATTTCAGACCCTTCTAATAAAGCTTTGTCAGTTCCTCTTTGGGATAGCACAACCATAGAATTAGCTTTCTGAGCATGTATGGTTCCAAGAGCTTCCAACTTGAGTGATTTAACCTTGGTGGCAGAGAAATGGCTACGTCCGTCCGGTATCTCAGATTAGATGGGGCCTATTTACAGATTCTGGATCGCGACTTATTTAGCGTTTAGCTGTGTCTGTCGACGGACACGCATTCTGAAACGCAGATTGATGTAATTATACACCTTGTACCAATTCTTATCTTATCGTAGGAACTAAGTGTTATTTCTATGTGCGTCAGTATCACACCTTGAAACTTCCTCTGGCCAACATGACGTGATCTCAACACAGGAGGCGCTGGGCCGCTGTTAACATCGAGTCATTCTTGGTGATCTGCAAATTAGGTTATTGGGCGTACATAGAGCTACTTGTTCGATCTCTTGGTTAGGGATATGTCTTTGCACGTGATGCTAATTAATTATGTCAACAATATAGCTTACATCGTCTTTCATATCGCAAAAGGCGATAGTATCGAGACTTCATTCCCCATATCACAAGGCACAAGTGAAATAGTTTGTGGAGAACAGAATTGATTGGGTAATTAGCTCGGCCAGTGCCGTCTCTTTCCAACCTGAGGCTATCAATGTCTGTCCAACCCTTTTCTATGCACTACTTGCTCTTCCAAACCACCCATCCCAACCCCCATCAAATTCCACCCCATTACAACAATATCCGTATATTCATCTTACGATGGATTGCACAGCTAACAACTCCAAGCTCTCTATGCATTCGCACGATGTGACGGATGTTTGGACCTAGCAGCTAGCCCGGTTGGAGGATGCGGCATTGCCGCAGAAGTTGAGTCCGTTGGAGTACTGCATATATCCAACAACGGAAGGATCGGCGGCACCATCTGGGCTCAGCTGGGCAGTACCAGCGATGTACCAACCGCAACGTGAGGTAATTTCGGCAAAAGCGTTGGTAAGGTAGCTTGCTTCAGAGGTCGTGAACCAAGCTTCCTGAATGCAGGAAAATGCCACAACGTTGCCGCGGATAGAGTAGTAGTTGACGTTGTTCTGGTTTATCTGGTTGGGACCGATTTGATTCTTGAGGTCTTGGACAGCGGCGTCGGTGTTGCCATGGTCAAGTCCGATGCCGCAGCCGCACCAGGTTTGCCACGTTCGGTTGTCGCGAGCTTCGATGGTGGATTCAGCAGACTGAACTTCAACACCCTTTCCAATGAGTTCGTGGACCTCATTGCCACTGTCATCAGTGTAGGTGGCGTAGACTCCATCCTTGGTGTCGTTCGGAATCACATAGGACGCCGCCAGAGTGGCCGGAAGGAGAAGAAGGAGGGTAGAAGCGCGCATGATGACTGATAGGGAGCAAGTAAGAGGCTTGGATGGCTGTTGGTTTGATGAGAAGATGTTGTTGAAGATGGTAGATGGAATGGACAGCTGGGTATAGTCAATTTATACTTGAGATCGAGCAACTATCTCGCTTCCCATTCTCGCGAAAGAATCCCTATCGCATTCGTATTTGCATAGACGCTGAATCTAGCCACTCTTGCTAGTGATCATGGGGATTGGTGTTAAAATCCTTTCGGCGAAATCCCCCCTTATAGTTTGGTTGATGAGAGACATTGTGCGAGATTCTGTGTCGTGCTCCCGCCAGTTGACTCATGTTTCATGTTGTGTTCCAATCTTTACTAAGGATATTGTGAATGAGGCTTCACTCCATCTTTTCTGATGGAAACATACGTTCTTCACTTGACAACTAGCGACTCAGCAAGACCATGATTTCAGTGTTGCATTTGCACAAGCCAACAAGATTATTCACCTCGATGTGAACTTGGATAACTGGTAAACGGCCTGAGTGACCATCTGATACGTGTCTTCCGTTAGTGCTTCTCCTATACACGCTAGGAAATTGCAGAGAGGGGTCAAGCAAGGGGATGGTCTAGGCGGAAGACAAGCCAAACTAAGCATTGCGGGTGAAAGCTTGGTTCTTTAGTCTTCCCGTAGTCAAAGACCTCTTCATTCTGAATGGATAACGCCCTGATACTCTTGACATAGAGCAATCAGACGAGCCTTGAAGCAACTCCCATGCTATAACAAGTGACGATACATAACCATTCTTTCCAAGATAGATACACCTCTGATAGTAACGGAAACCCCTGTTTGCTAGTAATAGCGAAATGCCACATAAAGCAAAGCTCATCTTTGTCCCGTCTGCCGCGACTCTTGCTCTCATGGTCAGAAACTCGGCACACTGTGGATGCCGAACGGCACAATAGTCCGAGCCTTATTGATGATATATCCGCTTATCTGACACTATCAAAAATGCGTCGGAGCGGGAGGCGAATCACTAGTCTTTGATGAGTTGTTGCAAGTGTAAACACGTTGTATCATCGTGTTGGCGTCAAGAAATTGTGGTAAAACGCTACATATTGCCAAAATGAGTCTGCAAAGGTAACCGTTTTTGCTTGGAAGATTACTTTGCGCAGGTGTTCAGACCCCTGTACTTCCAGGAAGGTTCTTGCATCAAAGCAACTGTCCCCTTGTCAAGTTACTCCTGCGATCCCGGTCTCCAGGCTCTTGGATTTTGCCGAGAGGCTGGCTCGAGCGTACATTGTGGGACACGGAGAAATACGATAAGCATCCGCAGTCGCCAAAAGGGCCGTGATTTTATAGCGACAAGCCACCAACCACTGCCTCAACCGAGCTTTTGGAAGCACGCTCTAGCCGCATGGTCGTGCTAAAAGAATGAGGCATCCCATCCGGCGACTCGTTTCGACATTAGTGGCAGATGAGCCGTTGCAGCTAACGCCTGATTTGGTCAAGCAGACGGCACGATCTGTCCCTGCGTTAGCGTCGGAGTAGGCGGCCTTCCTATCTAGTAGTAGCTTATGCTTAAAGTCGAGCGGAATGCTTTGGTACGGGATACTGGTAGTAGCTCGTCGATGATGGTCAGTATTGCTACTTGCAGGTTCTCAACTTAAACACCCAATTCGAGTTTATGATATGCCGTCTAGCCAAACCATACCCAACGTGAGCTGCAATTTTGTTGACTTGCACGCACATATTTGTCACTTAATATCTCAATGAGAAATTCATGAATACTCTACGATTCAGTGAGGAAGGTTGATCCTGACCGAACAAGCTATCGCAGTCCAAGATCACGGACTAGACAAGCATCGGGGGCTCCGCGAGTCTCGAATGCATTGTACTGCACGCAGTTAAGGCGGTGAGGTTAGATAAGTAAGGTGGCATTTTCAACCTTGCGTCCTATGCAAGGACGGGACAAATGTGTAGACCCATCAGACAATGATTGAAGGCGGCAAGCCAAAACATTTCTTCGGCCTCGGGTGGTTGAAGCCGATGCCCACTGTCTAGAATAGTCCCGTCCTTTACCCGAGGGCTCTCAGAGGTTACGATTTTGGCAAATTTACTTATTCGGAATGAGTTGTCCCGTTCTCTGGTCTTGACTTTCCAACGTTGTTTGGGTTCATGACTCGCTCGGTATCTATCCGCCACTCTGCGGATTTCGAAGTATTTTGTTAAGCTCGATCATCGTCGTTAATGTGTTTAACAAAACACTTGCGAGAGTAGTAGCTAGGCACAGCAAACGGTTGCGGATTAGGCTTGTTGTTGCCAAGTGCAGACAGATTTCTGAGGGTGCGACGGAAGTGGCACATTGTGGTTGACGGATCTCTACCATTCTAGGGCTCCTCCCGCTCTTCTCACCCCTGCTAGGTAACGCCGAGTCTACCAAGCTTTGCGGCACGGAAGCTTGTGTAGACCTTCACGTAGCTGACCTGGCTCCCTGCGGATGAAAGAGGAGCGAGGATGATACCGCACAACACTGCTCAATTACACAACCTTGGACATAAGTTTCGATTCATTCGGTATATTGAGCACACCGTCTATCGGGATCCTCTACGAGGTATCGCGGTTCAGTCACCGCGCCACTACTAGTGGTGATGCAGCTGTGCGAGATATTCAGAACTCAAGCTTTTAAAAATCCAGCCCTGCGCGATCACAAGGACACTTTTGCAACAAAGAGTATAGGTAGCAAAGAAAAAGTGATACCTTCGATTATCTCAATCTTTGTGCCACACTTCAAGCGCGAGATACAAAGCCCTTTGTGACCAGCATACAAGCAGAAGTTCTGATAATCTGAAATTCTTCAACAATGGGAATACCATGACTTCGCGTTTCTTTGTAGTATGACACTCGTCAGGTCTGTGACATATCAACTTTTCCAACCCACAATCGTATTGCAAGCAGAAAGAAGTGCTATACATAGCAACGTTCACACTCAAAGGAACATATATCTTTCAACAGATTGCAAAGATGATAGCCATTCGCCTTCAGATACAGTGCTCGGGATCTCACAGACAGTTCGTAGTTGACTTTCGTCATTCCAAACTCTTGCACACTCAGAAATGGCGCGTACCCGCTCCGCTGGACTAGCTACCGACCACATCAAGACAACCTTGCAAAAACAACGCGATGCACACGTAGGTCTAACCTGTCTCCCTCAAATCCTTCGCATAGCAGCTAACGATTAACCAGGCGTCCCGCATCACCAAGAACAAGTCCCCATCTCAGCTCTGGAAGATCCATAGAAGTCGTCCGAGCCGCAATAGCAGAGGCATTGAAAATGCAGCTCCATACTACAAAAGCTACCAGAACGTTGTGCACCAGGCGTTAATGCACACGCCCATCTACCACCAGTGGATAAGCAAGCACAAGCGCGTCGGACATGAGTCAACAACTTGCATTCTATGCTCGCTGCAAGATATCGCGACGCGATATTGGGGAGCAGCGGGAGCCACAGTTCCCATTCCTGCGACAGATGCGGCATTGATGCAGATAGCGGGCGCAGCAGCCGCAGACGACGTGGCAAACTTTGGGCCCGGCGTTGAAGGCAACGCAAGTGATTTCTTTGCCTGGCTGACAGAGAACATGATGCATCCCGCACCTCCGAACTTCGAGGTTGCGCTCCCGGATATGGGTCCCGTGCCGCCGCATTGGAATGATGAGCTGGATGCGTTGTTCAAGACCAACCTTGAGACGCGCATGGAATGTACGGTTTGTAGTCACACATGGTACAGTAACACAGTGACGCAGCCGACGTACCAGATCGAAGGTGAATACCGATTTGTGCTGCGTCATGGGCCACGCCCTGCACTGCTTGATTACATCATCGACCTCTTCTTCAACAATATCGATTTTAACTTCAGGTGTGGATCGTGCCACAGTTTGATAGGGGCGCATCACCGAACGCGTCGAATCGAAGCAGCGCCGCAGATTCTAAGGATTGCGGTGAATATCTTTGGTGAAGATCGATTGGGGACGGGGGAGAAGTATCTCGAGCCGTTCGATGTCCCGCAACAGCTAGACTTGACGCAGCGTCAGGTGATTACTACACTCCCGTTGACATACACGTTGAGTAGCGCTATTGCGCATGGTGGGGATGGTGGTCGTACGGAAGTGTTTGGAATGCCGGAAGCGTCGGCGGACTCGGCTTCGGAGAGCTCAGATTCAATCGCGAGTTCTAATCTTGACGAGGATGAGTCTGAGCTATTCATTGTGATTGACACTCCTTCGGCGAGCTCTGAGGAGGAGAGCGAAGATGAGAGTAGTGGCTCAACGGCAGGAACGGATTATTCAGACTTGTCAGACAGTGAAATTGCTGTGCCTTTGTCAGTTGTAGGTGGCTCTCTCTTTACGCTCAATGAGGTGGCAGTCTTGCCCCAGAAATCCACCAACAAGATCGACGTCCAACACAAACACAACCAAGCATCCCAATGCAAACGCATCTCAAAACCTCATACCAGAACAAACTTGATTATCGGAACACAAACCATGTCCAAACCCCAGTCCCTACACCGAGACAGCGACTCGCCCTCCCCATCAACAATCCCATTCTCCACCCACAGCGCCGAATCCGACGCCGCGCAAGTCAATGCCTCGCACCACATAATCAGCGTCCGCGGTCCCAATCACGCATTCCATATTTCCGACTCGCATACGATGCAAATACCGCTTGTAAATATGACGGATAACCCGCAGAACCCGACGGATGCGTGTTTCAGGCCGGGAGGGTATCAGGTGTGTGTGCTGACGTATACGCGAGATCGACTCAAAGGGAAGGATAAGAAGTTGGAGGAATTGGCGGGTTAGCAGGTTGTGGTGTTTGGCTTGGATTGGTTTGTTGGATTAAATTGCGGAGCGTGGATGCTTGTATACCCTTTTTGGCTTTGTTGGAACCGCAGGTTGTTTGTTTTCGTGATGTTGATTTGTACGTAAGTGTTTGAATACTTATTTCAGCTTTTTGTACTTTCTGGGGCGTGTTCGAGTTCGTGATTGACGACCTGGACGATCGACTTGAAGTCATTGTTCTCCCACGCGAAAGATGTCGTCCACTTCCAAGTCCCTTGCTGTCTTTCGAACGTATACTATTGTCAAGTGCTGATCATGAGCATGTATTATTCATGCCATGCGAGTCCAGCATCTCGACCAAACCACCCAAAGTCTGATCCTCGATCCTCCGCATCCCGGGGTATAAAATCAATCTCTTCCTCTTCCTCATCCCCCCTTCCCTCCTCATAAGTCCCTTCCATCTCTTCACTTCCCCTCGTTCTCCGTTCCCCAAGCGATCCCCCACCTCCTCTTCAGGACCTGCAAGCTCTCCTCCGTGCTCCTCCCCCTTTCCTTCTCCTCGCGGTTTATTCGTGTCGCGGCAGCTGCAAGGCCAATCGAGATGGCGAAGACGGGATCGAGGGCTCTATATATACCTCAAGTCAGCGGGGAAGGAAGTCGAGTGAGGGCTTGGTCGGTGGAAAGATTGAGGGACAAACCTAGAGATGATGTACTGGTACGCCATTATCACCTTTGCTATTTACAACGACGACAAAGGCAAAGACGAGACGTATGTCGTGGTGCTTCTTCGCGGAAGAAGTGTGGAAAATGATGCGGAGCGATGGAGTGACAATAAACTTTGCTGCAGGGTATGCAACGCGATGATTGGCTCGAGGTTTTCTTTACCCCACGATTCACACAGGTACTCTCGCAGCACACAAGCGGCGATAGCGCAAGCGGGCAGTGCGATAAGCACGCGTCTGCGTGATCACGTTTCGCAGCAGAGCATGCGGATCTTTCGAGCGGGTGCTGCTGATTAATGTTGTTGTGTTTTGTCATGTGAACAATGTCGTCATCAAGGGTCACGCTGACAAGTCACTAGATAACGGATAGAGCTTCACGCGGTGTCGTGGTAGCAGATGTAGTGCAGTTGTGGAACGAAGTTTGGAACGTTTAGAATACATTAGAATGATCCCACGACAGCAGTAGTGCAAGGAGAGAAGCCCCAGCTTCTGAGTCGTCCGTATCAGCAGATGTCACAGTCATGCATCGCGTGCTTGTCCGATGCCATCGCTCTACGTAGTCCCAGAAGATGGTTGCCTTGCACTACATACTGAGACCAAAACACCTCGCTCGCCTGAGTATTCCTGAGTCGCCCAAGCCGTGGAGTGTTATCGTAGGGAATAGGATGAAACCAGCATGAATCCGAAAACGCCGTCAGTTCATCGTGTCCTCGATGACTAGATAGATAAAGGAAAGCGACGGGATATAGGAGACTCGCTGTTTAGATCGCCTCGCCGAACGTGTTCTCGCCGGAGTAGCTGTTCGCGCGTTAGCTTACTTCGTTTGCTGAGTCGTGGTAGTGACGTACGTGATGTACAAGAAGCCGTCCTCATCCTTGTGCTCCTCGTATATCGAGCTCATCAGCGCGGCGGTGGGTGGCAGCACCTCATCGACGAAGATGAAGATGGCCTTCTCGGGCGACAGCTTGATGCGCTTGCGGATCACGTAGACGAACTGGCCGACCGTCAGGTCCGCGGGCACCAGGTACTTCTTCTTGTCGATGGTCGCGATATCAGACTTCTCGACCTTTTCGCAGATGACCTGAGCGCTGTTAGCGACTCCATACCGAAGCGGCTTGCAGTGGGAGGCGACGTACTGGAATGCGGTCGTTGTACTTCTGGCGGATGCGCTCTGCCTCGGCCTTGCGCTTCTCGAACGGGTGCTCGTCCTTGAACTTGGAGCGCATGTTGGCGACGATAAGACTGGTGTGGTTTGCTGTGGTGGGGTTGGCAGGGAGTTGGTGCAGATATAGGTGAGCAGGGTGTATGTGGGTGGCGGAGGTTGGGTGTAAGAGAGACGGGCTGCGGCGGTGAGAGCGACTTAGGCAGCGAGCAGAGGTGGGGAAGTCAGGGACACGCTAGCGAGAACGCCAGTCACGAAGGCAACCATTCCATTCACTCTCGACACAGTCTCACTTGGAGCTTGCCAGCTGCGCACTGGTCGCTGTCGATAGGAATGACTCTTCGTTGTATGGCAGTGCTGCCGCCACTTGATACCTTCTACTTGTCACTTGCTCAGCCCCATGACCCGGCTGAACGACTTGGGTCACCCGCGCTGAGGTACCCAGACAACAAAGGACATGAGAGCTATCAGACTCCAATCAGATATACACACACAGCCTCAAGACCGATCTGACGCGTTCGAAAGGGTGTTTGCTGAGCTGAAGCTTGATGAGCAGTGCCTGGCGTTGTACGTGTAATCTTCCACGAATATGATTAGGTGATACAGCACATGCAAACAAACGAGATGATAAGAAGATGCGCTCATTTAACCGAGAGTTGGAGTGCTTTGCAGCATCTATGGAGTATTCGAATGGCGAGACGAGTCTGTCTTGGTGCTCTCGGAGCTCCCTCGGCAGCATGGCCATGGTGTGATGATGTGCCGACCTCTCTCTAGCCAGAATCGATCATTAGACGCCTAACATAAATTCAATCGCGCTCATCACCCTCGCTTTTGCTTCCCAGGAACGAGTGATAGTGTTCTGGCATCGCCCAGCCTGTACCTCCCCGCCATGCCGCCATTCCGACCTGCATTCCGCGTCGTCAGAGCTCTCGAGCTCCCCCACAGCTATGCGCCACGACGAACATTGCGCCCAACGAGCCTCAGCAGCAGACAGATACACACATCGCGAAGATGCATGGCCCAATTCCCCCCAGAAAGAAAGCCAGACCCGATGGAGGAATGGCGAAACCCTCCAGCGAGCAAATGGCCGAATAGGATACGACTGCTGATGCTGCCCTTCATTGGCGCTCTGATCTATTCCATGGTGTGTCCCATGTCCCGCATCCAGCATTGCATATCGCTAACACGTTCATAGTGGACAGACGACTCCATCAAGGCTGAAACCGCCTCCATCGCCCAGAAAGACGCCCTCCTCAAGCGCGAGAATGGCGTCACAGAAGACTCGCCTATGCGCCTGCGGATGGAGCAGTTCATAAAACAGCACCAAAAGCAGATCGTCTCGGAGCTCGAAAAAGTCGACGGCACGTCCTTCACAATCGACTCGTGGCAGCGGCCCGAGGGCGGGGGCGGCATAACCTGCGTGCTGCAGGATGGCAAAGTGTTTGAGAAAGCCGGCGTCAACACCTCCGTCGTATACGGACGCCTTCCTCGCGCCGCGATCCAAAAGATGCGCGTCAACCATAAAGCGCTCGACCCAGATGTCGACTCGCTCGAGTTCTTCGCCGCTGGCCTATCTCTGGTGCTGCACCCCCACAACCCCAACGCGCCGACCGTACACCTGAACTACCGGTACTTCGAGACCGCGGACGAGAACGGCAACACCAACGCGTGGTGGTACGGTGGCGGATGCGATCTCACACCCTCATACCTCTACGACGAAGACGCGATCCACTTCCACCAGTCGATCAAGGCGGCATGCGACAAGCATGACAAGGGCTACTACCCGCGCTTCAAAAAGTGGTGCGACGAGTACTTTGACAACAAGCACCGAGGGGAGACGCGCGGCGTGGGCGGTATTTTCTTCGACGATATGGACGAGACGGAGAAGGATCAGGAGCAGCTGTTTTGCTTTGTGCAAGACTGCTTGTCGGCGTTCTTGCCGTCGTATCTGCCCATCATCAACAGGCGGAAGGACATGCCGTTCACCGAGGCCCAGAAACATTGGCAGCAGTTGAGGCGGGGTCGCTATGTGGAGTTCAATCTCGTGCACGATCGAGGTACGTCATTCGGACTCAACACGCCGGGAGCCAGGGTGGAGAGCATCCTCATGAGTCTGCCGCTTACCTCCAGGTGGGAGTATATGCATGCGCCTGAGAAGGGCAGTCGCGAAGAGCGGTTGCTCGAGGTGCTGAGGAGTCCCAAGGAGTGGGTGTAGACGTATATGCTGTATCATATTGTAAGATGCTATTCATGTACTCAAGCGTTCTGCGCAAGGTCTTTTGCGACATCAGATGAGTTTTGGATGACTCGATGATCTGCCTATGTGCATGACACCCTATGTAGCGAGAGGGCCAGGAGCTTAGAAGTATCCCACTATGACTACGACGTTGTGCGGCACCAACATATGAAACGACCGGCAACGACAAAAGGAATGCGTCACGTTTTCAAGCAGCAAATGACGGAGAAGATACAACAGTGAAACGTACAAATGTTATGCAGATGATCAAATGTCCTTGAACCATGGATGCTCTAATGCTTGTTTCGCCGTAATTCGCTTCGCGGGGTCCAAATTCATCAATCGCAAGATCAAATCCTTGAAGACAGTGTCTTCCACCTCAAGCCATTCCGCAAACGGCTTGTATGGAATATACGGCTCATGGCGATCCTCCCAAAGCATACTCAGAACCGTGAGACTGATCTCGTCATCGCCAAGGTGCGCCTTCAGACCATCGACTCCTTCCTGATCTCCAAAATAGGATACCTGCCGCTGTAATCGAATCATATCAGGCAATGCACCCAGATCTTCATGCTTCTTCAGATCGGCGTCTGGTCCGAATATGACACGACCGAGAACGGCGTAGATACACTAAGAGTGTTAGTGACTAGTATTGAGATTTGAGTACCTCGAAGTACTTACGACGATCCCGAAAGAGAACATATCTGCCGGCCTACTGATTTTGCTTTTGAAAAACGCCTCGGGACTACGCCAGTTCTCGTTTCCCGCTATCATGCCTTTAATGTATCTGCCGTTGGGGAGATAGGCCGCGTTGTCAAGGTCAGTGAGTTGGACCTTCTCGAGTACCATCTTTTTCCCGTCGTGATGGTAGTCAACCATGATGTTGTCTGCCTTGATGTCTGATGTTCGTTAGCTTTTGGCGTTGTAAGTTTGGAAAGAGGAAGTGCATGACCTAGGTGTACGATATCTTGGCGGTGCAATTCAACGAGTCCTCTAAGACTGTCCTTGAGGATTTTCTTCGTAACATGCATAGGAATCTGTTTATTCACCAGGCTTAAGAGATCTTTTTTCAGATACCTGAACACGAAAACACGCTTATCACGGATCGTGTCAACGGGTAGTCGTATAAACGGACTATCGCGGATGTTGGGTCGAACCTCTTCATTGAAATGGTCGAATATGAGTTCAGGAATATCTTTCAAGATAAACCGATCATGCCCACTCCTGGAGAAAGTCAGTTCGCACCCTGTGCGGGATTCAGTATGGCGAGACTTTACGTTGCGAGCCAAACACGGCCAAAGTGTTCTCTCTCCTGGAGGAGCTGTTTGTATTGGTATGTAGTTCCCGTAGTCCCAATCATGTCTTTGGGAATAGCTGCCATCCTGGCGATGCTCCTCCGAAACATACTATTCGCGCAGAGATAGTATTATACTCCGCCCTATTGTGGAACGAAGGAAGTGCAATTGCAAGCTTGAAGAGAGGGGTTGCCAGACGACAACTAAGTAGTATTTTCAGTTCGATGTATGAATGAGTGGCACAGTGGTAGTTAAGGTACCGAAGCGCTAGAAGCATTCGTAGGACCTGGTGCCCAAGCTACAGCGACGGTTGATTACAACCGAGGCGGCGCAGGTTTGGTGTTTTTTCAAAGCAGGATACACTACTAAACACCAGCCAGGTCTTCCACATACGACCATAGGACGTTGAAAACAAGGCTTCCCGTTCGCTCAGCCCTATTTAAGCAACGTACCGGCGGACTAGTAGTTAGGTGGGTGACCACTAGCGAATCCCCGCTGTTGTATGTATTCTTTTTGGTGTTGTGTCTCACTTTTTTGCTCGCGTGGATAACCAAGATGCTAGGGTTGATAGGGCCTAGCGTTGCATCCCCGCTGTTGTGAATTTGGCCTTCCTTTTGCACTCACCCACCTCCTCTTTTTGCTCCATTACCCCTCGTACTGGAATAATGGACATCCTACAGACTGGCATGAGAATTGCTTGCTAACTGCATACCAAAGATTATCTATGTTCCCTTAGAGCAAGTAGATAAGTACAGTGGTATATATGCTCATGCGAGGGTTCACTTTTTCTTGTGATAGCGACGGGTTCTTTATATCCTCCTACAGATAGATCCGTCGTAGGTGCTTTGTTTCCTCTTGCACCTTGCTCCTTTATTTCTTTAGGGTACCTCCGCGCTGCATTATTATCTATCCACTACATGCTATTCATCGCCTCCTACCCCGCCATCCAACTACTACGCTTCTTCCCGTTTGCTTGGCGTCAGCATGCGTATTTTCTCCTGGGCAAGCGGGTTCCTCGTGGCCTGCATGGAAGTCGTTAACGCTGCCGCGAGCAGACTACCCGGCATTGTGAGAGCGGACTGGCTTTCCCGCGAAACGAGACGTATGTGAACGCACCACTTTTGCCCGTCGTCTTTGCGTTGCGATCCACAGAACTCGCGCCGTTCCTCAACACGCGAATTTCGCTTGTGATATGGGACTTGAGCGAGGTGAGAGAGAGCGTGGTAAATACTATTCACGACGTGAGATGGGCGATCTTCTCCAGTCACAACCCCTAATTTGAGTATCACGCTTTCACTGCGTTCAACATTGAGGGTGGCTGGGAGCCGATTTGAGGTCTCGGCTGAAACAACCGCACCGAGGAATTGTACTCCACGTCGCGCAAGCATCCAAATCTCGCATAACTATACAAGAAGATCAGTTCTCCTCATCACCAAGGAGTTCGCGCAGGACGTAAATCTTGTTGCTGCTACACGAGGCACGAATTGCACCGAGTTCACAGGAGTCACCACCAGCGTGAAAAACAGTCTGCCCGTTTCCGCCGTGATAGATGGGTGGGGCAGCAAGACGTGCGCAGTGTTGGCTTCTTCCCCTCCTACCCCAAATTCATGTTGTGCTACGACTGATTCTCGCGCAGCGTCAAGCATATTTTCCTCCATTACCTCCCGCGCGTGCATGTACACTATGTACTCGTCCCACTGGTCCGTTGTCAACCAGAAGTCAAGAACAAGAGTGCTGCATAGCGACTGGCTGTTGGGGCCATAGTGTGCTTGGTAGCCGCATTCAGGACGTTGAATTACATTTAGGAGTGAACATAGGCTTAGCTGCTTCTGGCCTCTAATCCAGATCCAGCGACGACGCAAGTGTACTGATAACGCACGGATGGGAACGCATCCTACATTGTCTTCGACTTACTGAACCAAGGTCTTAAAGTATCTGCTCTGGAGAACCTGGAAAACAACCTTGGAAACTTCAAATTTGCGACACTCACCCAAGCCATACAGTGCTGTGAGCTGTGGTACAGCAGCATCCACGTGTTTTGGGTAATGGTCACAATTAATGCCGCGTTCACTCTCATGCGAGATGCTTTGGAGACCCGAGCCAACCTGACATGTCCGTCGATTCCGGAGTCTATCGACATCTCCTACTCAGGTTGTGTTGATTGTGCAGCTTATACCGGCCAATGCAACCACTAGTTTAGCTTTGCTATTCAAGACGAGCGGCCAGGAGAAGTAGCACCAGCAGAAGCAACATCAATTGTTCCACGCTTGTGCCGAGCGTGGAATAGTTTCAGTCGCCCTTGGTGATATTTGTGCGGCATTACTACTAATTGTCTCACTTCTCCAGCTAGTTTGTCAGGTACAACTCCAGATTCGACTTGTGCGCCAAGTTAAAAAAAAAAGCAGCACGTTTACTCTAATGAGATCCTCGCAGACTCCAATATCTTAGTCTCAACCTGGGACGCATGACTCATGCCATATATACTATGTCCAGACGAATAATAGCCATGACGGCCTTGCCACTCATTGCAGTCCATGCGGCATATACTTGAGGATTCTAATGGGAAAACACGACACACAACGGCTATCAGATATTGTTCGTTGGCACTAACATATAGTTGAGTGAAGCTTTCCGCCCCAATCTTCAACGCATGTGCATTGCCTTGATAAACAGTGCAGGCATGCGAGATGCCGAGTCTGCTGGAGATTGTCGTTTCGGCGACTCCCACGGGTGCACATATGCCAATAGACTATGCACACAAGAGCGAAGGGACCTAAGCTAGTTGCACCACGGGTGAATGCATGATATATTAGAGTCGGTCCTAGTATCTTGGCTGAACTTATCTTAATGGCGCTGTGCCTTTCATGATTGGATCCTTTCGGCCGGGCAAGGCTGAACTATCGAAGTTCTCCTTGAGGGAGAGGGAGCTCGAACAGATGAAGAGGGGGAGAAACAAAAGTAACTGCAGTGGTAGAATAAGCGGTGTTGATCGTGTCATAATCATGTACCAGGGGTAGCTTATCAGTGAAATGGAGTGTCGTGGTAGTACCGGATGTGAGTGGTCACTTCGTGGTTGTTTACCTGTACTTGATAGGCTGAGGTGACTCGGAACACGGTGTAGGTGGCTTCATAACAATTATCTATAGCAGAATCTACACATTGATAAAATGATAGACCCGCCAATTATGATATCGCCAGAAACTTTAGTGGTGTGAAGTTTGCAAGGGTATTGAAAGTCAAGATCTTGCTAACTCTATTCACAAGATTGTATGACATTCCGAATGCGATGATTTTGGAGATCTGACATACTACCACAACAGCCACATGATAAGAACGAGATCTTCAGTGACTCGTTGCTGGAAGAGAAAGTGTGAGGTGTGGAGGTTATTAGCAATTCATTTATGTCACATCGGGCAGTGCAGAGATACGGTAGTTGCGCACTCATCAAAGTCTGTCTCGAGTATTTCACCTGCTGTTAATTTGCCCTAATATCAGGATCGAGTTTATACTAGCGTCGCGGCTTACCGGTGAGCGCGCTGACCGGTGGAGTGCTCTTGTGTTTGCCTGCATAGAAATACATCTTACCCCGCTCTGATCTGGACTCGGCCCTTATCACTTCCCACCTTTGCGACCATCCATATTCTCAAGGCATTACGAAGCGAACCGTGATCATTGAAGAACAAGATCCACCGGACGTTACATGAGCAAGATCAATAAAGCGGCTAGCAAATACTGACCGCCCAACGACGCAAGGCTGACACCAGTCTATCTCTTGTCAGGACTACTTCACAGACATCTATGGAAATTCGTGAACAAATTTGATTGCTATCACAGACAAGTATTGACTTGCGGCAATTATGCTTTGCGATATTTGCGTAGGAGTTTTGCAACATCGGCGTAATCTCATCTCGGACGATAAACATGCTCGATTCGATGGGCAAAACTCAAAGGATGGAACATCGTCGGGCGAGGAAAAGCCTTTTGGTAAGGAAACCTCGGCGCAAGAGAAACAAGAGACAGAGATACGGCGGACCATGAGTAATGCCGAAGAAGGGGGCAGCGAAAGCAAAGAGCCACATATTGAAACATTTGATGAGTCGGTGGAAGAAGATTACAGTCAAAACTCAGGGATAGACGGAGACAGAAAAGGATCGTATGATGGTGAAACCACGGTCGATACGGGCATGTTGGAAACAAAACTTCAATATTGGTACGTCCATCATTGGACAGTGCAGACTCTTGTAGAGTCCGCTGCCCTTAAATGCCATATTTGCCAGGTCGTTTGGAAGAGGGTTTCGAAAAAGGAGAAAGAATCATTGTGCGCTTCTCACGATACAACCAACTCGGCGACGAATGTAGAACTTTCCCAGCTCACGAACGCTACAAGACGTAACTACGAGTACCTCACTCGTATGGAAGTCTATGGTCAACGTTGGCCTGGAGCCACTTTTGATGCGAAAATCTATTTTCACCTGCAGGCGCTCCCCTTGCGTCACCAGGCTGATGCATTTTTACTCAGACCCGGTTAGTCACTCGTGCTCTAATCATGAGGCAAAGGTGGTGGCTTATAACTGCAAAGTCGACGAACCCGTGTGTGAACCTGTATCTGAGGACACCCAATCTTCCACTTATACCTCGTCTGAGGAGTCGTTACAGACAGCCGTATGGTGGTTGCAAGACTGCCTCAGGAACCATGAAGCCTGCAACAGAGAAAAAGTTTCGTCACTGAATGCCCCGTGGCATCCCACACGGCTCTTGTATCATGGTGAATCCGGTGGGATTGTCCAACTGATACTCACAGCAGAAAAGCCTCCTATCGGACCTTATACAACTTTGAGTCATCGTTGGGGTACAGCGCAATTCATCAAGCTTCTTCGCTCAAATATATCGGCCTTCCACAGTGGTATAGCGGTCACAAAATTGCCCAAAACCTTCCAAGAAGCTATCATTATATCGCGACGACTTGGCGCTCAGTACATCTGGATCGATTCCCTTTGCATAATGCAAGACAAGGACGATCTTTCAGACTGGCTCCATGAAGCAGCCCTTATGTCCAAGGTCTATTCGCACTCATACTGTAACATATCCGCCTCAGACACAGAAGATAACTTGGAGGGACTGTTTCGATCTCGTGACGCGCATCAAATTAGGCCAACATCAGTAAAGCTATGTGTCGAAGGTCTCCATGCGATATCCAAATACATAGACTGCAAGGTAGAGCATGATGACTATTGGAAAACTAACGTAGAAGAATGTCTTATCCAAAAACGAGGGTGGGTATTCCAGGAAAGGTTGCTTGCGCCACGGGTTCTACATTGCGGACACTATCAGCTTTTCTGGGAATGCCGACAAAAGACTGCATGCGAGACGTATCCTCATCCGTTTCCTCATCGTATTCGTTATTCATCATTCAAGTTCAACCTTGATGTGGTGGTTCAACGAGATTCCGACCCTGATATTATGGACTCGTGCTCCTACATCTGGGGGCGATTGGTGGAAGCATATGCGCAAACAACAGTGACCTGTGCGACTGATAAACTTATCGCTATCTCTGGTATCGCAAAGTATTTTTCTGGTATAACAGGAGATACCTACATCGCCGGGATGTGGCGCAAGGACCTTGAAGGGCAGCTTTTATGGTGGTGTTTTGATGATGATGATACACGCAAAGAAGACCTACAGGTACATTCTCGACCATCCTGTTATCGTGCTCCGACTTGGTCTTGGGCGTCGTTAGACAGAAGCGTCGTCTGGGACTCAGCTGCGAGAGATATGTTGATTACTGTACGGGATGTTGTCCTTACATACGCAACAGACGACGTAACGGGGCTTGTTACCGGTGGGTGGCTAGATTTGCAGGGTTTGCTGAAGCCCATGAGCCTGCTGCAGGAGGACAAGACGCAAGGTGGAAAGGAAGAAAACATTTGGATCATCTTAGATGGTCATACAGAAGCCTTTTTGTCAGACTCCACCGCAGTCAACCTCGATATCCCACAATTCGACTCCTCAAAATTCGACATGGACAATGCCCAACAGAGCTTATTCTACATGCCCGCATGTGATCATGAGTATTATTGGTCCGTTAAATATCTTCTGCTGCGAGTGATAGACCCCTCGCAAGGCTTGTTTGAGAGAATTGGGATTGGATGTTGCCTTACTCAGGAAGACGTTGATACGGTATTAGACAAAAGTATGCCTGAGGAAGAGAGGAAACGTCTGCCATGTTTGCGATACAACGAGGACGGCACACATACGATTCGAATCATATAGCGAATCCCCGCTGGTGTATGGTCTTGCACGTTTTTGTTGGATGTGGATCGTGCAGCTTAGCATTGCGCATCTCTTTGCACGCATTGGACGCTTGATAGTTGATCGATTAGTTCCCTTGATCGTCTGCCACTAGCTTGACTGTTGATGATGGTGCGTTTCTCAACCAGGGAACAAGATAAATGGAATCTGTAGGTTGGTGACTGGGTGGGCGGACCCATAGGTTATCCGTTTGCTTGGTCTTGGTCAGTTGAATGGGACGGGTTGGGCTGTAGATTTACATGTCTCTTTGTCTCTCATAGTTTTTCTACTCAAAAGTCATCACGACAATGGAAATATTGACCATATCCACGTTGGTAAATAGAACAACGGTAACAGCGACAACGAGAGCCACTACAATAACGCGAGCAGCTCAAAAACACATACGCCCTTCACACACATCTCATCCCG